CCAGTCCGGCCGCGTCCCGGGCCTTGCGGGGAGCCGCCCCGCCTCTGCCACTTTCTCGGGCTGCTCCACGCCCCGCCACCCCCAGGGTCTTGGTACATTCCAGCGGACTCCGAGGGTTTAAAAGGCCTGGAGCCCGAATTTCGCAGCTTTCGTGCTGACTGTGCTCAAAACGGGTCCCGGCTGCCTTCAGCATCGCCGCGCTGCCCGAGGGCCGCGTGTCTCGGCAGCTGTGTGCGTGCTTTCTGCACCTCTGGCCCCGAGTATCCGTGAGTTTGCGTGTGTGTGTCGCAGTCTCGCCTGCAGAGAGGAGCCCTCGCCTGCTCCGCTCGCCCAGCTCCTGCTCTATAGCCGGCGGGAGACGCGCGCCTCCCCAGCATGGAGCAGACCGAGGTGCTGAAGCCGCGGACCCTGGCCGACCTCATCCGCATCCTACACCAACTCTTCTCGGGCGACGAAGTCAACGTAGAGGAGGTGCAGGCCGTCCTGGAAGCCTACGACAGCGACCCTGCCGAGTGGGCGGTGTACGCCAAGTTCGATCAGTACAGGTGAGAGCTGCGAGGCCTCACTGGGGTCTGGCTCGCCGAGCCCCCCCCCGCACCCTGGCTGTGGGCCCCACGGCCTCCTCCTGGACAAGGGGAATCTTGCTGTCGCCACTGTCCAGACAATGCTTTCAAGAGGGCCGGCGCCAGGTGGGAGACCATCGCGTGGCTACAAAGGTTTTTGGTTTTTTTGTTTTGTTTGTTTGGGTTTTTTTTCCTCCCTTACCCGCAAACACCTCCACTGCGTACCACACTAACGCTCCTAGCCTCAGGAATGATGTCCTCCTCTACGAGCGACTACCGACCCCACGTCGGAGGTGCACAGAGACCCCACAGCTGGACCCAGGCTTCTGTCCGCCTGTCCCGGAGAGCCTGACTGGCTGTACTAGCGAGGCGCTTCCAAGAAAGAAGGGCATCTCAGCTTTTGAGAAAAAGCGTCGGTGTGGGGGGACGTGGTTCCCCGATGTCAGTTCTCCATCACTATGCCTTGGGTAGCCAGCAACTAGGCGCCCTTCAACAGGCATTTTCCCAATGCATAATAAATACGTGGGCGTCTTGGTTTTGTCAGCTGCTACTACTCAGTTTCTGCCTTTTGCGCTTCCAAAACAATTTAACCTCTTCGACTGTAGGTTTATTTAAATTCACTATCAGTGAATTTAAAATCTCAAATTAATCACACCCCTGCCTTTTCAGTCCCCAAACCATAGGCTTACTCTTCTCCTAAGTTGCATGGATCTGTAATGAGCTTGAAAGACCACTGCTCCATTTTTTATTTGGGAAGAGGCTTTCGGAATTTCTTTTGGTTTCCATCAGCTCAGTTCCTGGGCAGGTCCTCTGCCTATCGATAAGCTACCAGAATCTAGCATTTAAATTTGGCCTGCACTTGCTCCAGATAAATGAGAACTTGCTATAGGCTAGACACTCCTTCCATTCACTTCACACAGAACAACCAGCTGCCATTCTTATTCCTGTTTTACAAGCAGGGACTGGTTCACAAATGAGAAATGGAGAGGGTGAATAAACTGTACAAGGCTTCACTTCTATCACGGTCAAATAAACCTAACTGTTCTGGAGCCCATATTCTAAATCATTATTGAACTTCCTCTGGACACATGACACTGTAATAGATTTATTACAGTATATATCTGATTAGATGTAGTATTGGCTAAGTGAAATTTAGCAGGGTGGGTTGTCACCAAGATTAATCTTTAGAACCAGAGCCTTCCGTTCACTTTTGAATGAGCTGCACAACTCACTGAGATAATAGTATAGTCTGGCATGGACAGTTGGGAGAATCGGGAGTGAGAGAGCTCGAAGAGCAGAAATTCTATGTTCCGGCATAGAAACAGGTGCCTAGAACTCCTGCTCTGTGATGTTGGAGGTGGGAGGGGGAGAGACATGCAACATAAGAGAACCAGTAGAGAATGTGTTCCACAGAATATGGCTGGCTAGTGTGGGCCAGGCAGTAAACTCTCTGGAAGAAGACAGAGAGAAACAAGAGGTGACCCTAAGACTGGCAGAGAAAGAAGATCCTGATGTGAGAACTCAGATTACTGTGAATCAAAGGCTGTGTAGCGTTACAAAGTGAGGATGAAGACTGAGAGCTAAAAGTATTTACTGAACAACTCCCTCAAGGATCGTGCTCCTAGGCACCCAGTCCTGAGGGAAGGGAGGGATGGGAAAGGACTGAAGGGGTGAATGGAACAAGAGTTAGCAAATGACCAAGTGAATGAACGCTACCAAAACTGCAGTAAAGGTTACTTTCCTTAAAAAACAACAGGCTGGGCTGTGTACACCTTTTCTTTTGGAACTTTTGTTTGAGTGAAGAATTGTCTTGGGCCACATATAAAATATATATAGATAATGTATATAAGTAAAATTTCCTTTCTTGAATATTTTTATTATAACACTTTATATTGTGGGCAATTTTTTGGTTTTTTTGGGGGGATTTGGTACCAGGGATTGAACTCAGGAGCTTGCACTCTCGAGGCAGGTGGTGGATATAACTTTTTAAAAACAGGGTAAAAGAGAAAAGATGAACTACAGGTTGACCAGAACTGATTGAATGTCATAATTATTAATTTTTGCTAAATAGACGGTAACAGTATTACCTGTTGGACCAACAAGAACTTTAAAGTTGAATCTTCCTCACCAAGTATAGTAGCAGTGTGTTTGTGATAACTATTTTGGTTTGGATTTCTTTCTCTCTCTCTCTTTTTTTTTTTTTTTTTTTTTTTTTT